AACCAGCTTGTCATAAAACAAACCAACAAACAAACAAAACAGAACTCTCTGGACCATCTTTCATGGGATTAGTACTACTTAGAGTGGTACCAGCTTACAGCATAGTGGTGCCATTGTCTTGCAGGTGCTGTTTGAACTTTCTTGATTTCTCCATCTGAGTGTAGGCTGTGGCATTCAATCTCTTGCTGTGTAAGTGCAGAGTGTCTAAATACACGTGTACAGCCTCACACATCTGAGGACAGTTGTCTCCAACAGCCTGAGAAACTCAACTATTGGTACTCCTTAGCTTGAAGTTTATGTTAATTAAATATTTCACAGTGAAGAGTCAGTGACCTACTGAGTCATTGCTACAAAGAATTTTTCGCTTCTCAAATTGTTGTGATATTAAGGTAAATTTTTCTTTTTATTTTTCTTTCAGAATAGGCCATTGTTATTCCCAAAGCATTTCACACGTGAAATTGGATTTATTTTTCAAATTCTGGTCATCTTTTTTTTTTTTTTTTTTTTTTAATCACATCGGTACTTGGAAATTTGAAGTTGCTTCATTTTTCCTTTAAAAGGAAGGGAAATGAGTTACATCTTAGTTTCCTCAATTACCATACATCTGTGGTTCTTTGACATTTATACTTGGGATTTTTGAAGGCAGGGAACCTAATGAGGCATTTTTAATTTTTATTTCTAATTATTGGTGAAATCACACTCAGTGCTCACATATGGTTTTATTTTGTTTTAAAGGCTTCCACCCTTCTTTTCTGACTGCCTCCTCATTGCTGTATGATTTTGGAAATAAAATGAGCTTTAAATGTGTGCTTCTGTCCTTTAAAGCTTGATTGCTGTGGTTCTTGACTTTCAAGCAAGTTAGCTTGTGTTTAAAACAAAGCTTCATAGAGGTGGCTTTACACGTTCTTTCCTAACAAGGAAAAACCATACCTGACGCAGTCAAAAAAGATTTCCGTAGGCTCGGAAAAATGGATTTTTATCTGGGAAAGTGGATGAGAAACCTTTTGAGAAGTTTGAAAATCCTTGAAGGCATTATTTCAGTCAGGTAAAATGTTGTTCTCTCTTCATCCAGTCATCTTCATCCAGTCCACATTAATACAAGTGCTGCAGAAGTTTTGTGCACGGAGGGATTATAACTGGAGCTCAAGTGTCCTACCACCAAAGCACTGGCATCTGCTTTGTAGTCAAGTGTTGCAGGCCAATTTAATTTAAGTTATTTATCAGTTCACTTATTTACCAGTCCTTTGAGAGCATTCTAAGATTTCCCCGTAGAAGTAGTTATTCTGAGGGAAGTAATACATCAATTTGTAATCCATGTAGACATTAGTGTGCTGATGGTTTCTCATTAAAAGAGAAAAAATTAGTACAAAAATGAAGTAATAGCTAAAAATTAATGAAACCATGCCATTAACTCTTTTAGTGGTAAGAAATAAGAAGAGCAGAAGGTAATAGCTTAATAGATAAGAATAGATATTTCCTTAATACTTATTTAAAGACTCAAGTGAAATTTCTAATTTTTACTCAAGTAACTGTTCAATGCACGTTTCTGGTGCATTTGATTAAATGTGAAAGTGTTTTTGTTATTTTTTTTAGCTACCCATTCTTTATGGATATTTTTTACATAAAAATAGGTTGACTGCTTCATCAACACTCATCACTGCTGATTGGTTATTCCCTACATGGCCAAAATCAGCCCTTGAGTGAGCAATTTGGTTTCTTCCAAAGGAGAGAGAGCTCACTGATTATAGGTGCTGTAGAGAAGCTGGTAAGCTGTCCTCTTTCCAGCTGCGTGTAATGTTTGAGATGGAAGTGAAAACATCTTGGACAGTGAGGCTCCTAAGGGAAGTTTTACTGTCTACTATCTAAGTATGTATAATAATGAGAAAGAAGGTTGTACTTGTGCTAGATGCCTAATCTGAATGCCTTAGAGCACAGAAAATGTCACAAATACATTATTTTCAAACAATGAACAACCAGATGTTAGGTAATTAGAATGCCTTAAGTAATGAAATAAAAAAAAAAATATATTAAAAACATGGGATTATTAAAAGTTTAAAAAAGTGGTGAACTTATCAGCTTTACCTCCAGTTTTTCAAGTTGCAGCAGCCAAGTTATCTCTATGCTGAATATCAATCAATTTTACCTTTTAAAGATAAGATAATTTCTTTAGAGACTATGTTTTCATTGTCACTGATGTTTAATGCAAGGAACATCACAATATGCTTTCCATTAAAATGCTCCCTACTCAGTTCTGTCTGATGTGGTTGTTGTTATGCAGTTAACAGTTGTTCATTCCAGTGATACCAGACTCCACATTTTCTCTTGAAACAAGGATCCTAAAGAAGTGCAGGGTTATTTTCTGTATCCTAATGCAATTCTTTTATGTTGGCAATATTGAGTAATGCCCACTTAAGCTATGACTTTCTCAAAAATAGTTATTCAGGTAATATGCTTAAAAACATGAGATTCCTTCTGTCATTGCATTTGCAGTTGGAGTGCCAACCCTGGGAAACACAATCTCCCTATTTTTCATAGTTTTGCTTACTATTTGCCTTAAAAAAAAAAAAAAAAAAAAAAGTTTTTTAGTAACACTGCAATGAAGTACATAGATTAAAAACGGTGTTCCTGCATTATGAAAGGATGAGAATTATAATAGAAGAATGATTGTCAGTAAGAATGCTTCAGAATTAGGGACTGTAGGTTCTGTTCAGCACTTGGGCACTGGTATGGCTGTTTGCATGTGCTGGCAAGCACTAAGGGCTGTGCTGATACATACACCAGACCCAAGGAGTAAGATTTAAAGAGGACTCTCTGCAGGTATTTATCTAAAGCATTTGTAAGGCAAAGGGGTGTGGAAGAGGCAGACATTTTCTTGGCAGTTCAGAGAATCTTCAGTTTGGAAAATACAGCAGTGTTTTGGGGGATTTTGGCCGTTTCAAACCATACTTCATCTTAATTGAGCTAAGAAGTAAAGAAAGATAAGGCAGCTATAAGCGAACACTGCTGCAGGATGAGGAAGTGAAAACAGGAAAATAAAGCAAAAAGGAGAGAAGTTATTTCTTTGGGCTTACGGGTAACCAGACTGGAGGAAGATTTGAGGTGGGATCACACTGCAGTTAGTTTACATTTTGACCCAGCGGATTTCTGCACCGAGTGCAAAGACCACATCTCCACAAGGCTGTACATAAAGGCTTCTGTAACACTGGCACACAGTTACCCAAGGTTTCTCATTCACTCGCTGCCGTATGTTGCACTGTATCCCCTGCTCCTACTTCACAAACACAGCACAAAGTCCTGCGGCTGTATCTTCTAGCCATTCCTTCAATGAACAGATAGATAGTGATGTATCTAATGCTGAGACATTTGATGTGACTAGTGGATGTTTTAGTCACCACTCAAGTCCTTTATCTCCCTAGGATCCACAGTAACAAAATTATTTGATATGAGAACCTTTGATATTACAAGTTGTATTTAACATTTCAAGGCTCATTTGAATCAGCTCAGCTCACTGAACTGCTAAAGCATACAGAACAACACATCCTGCAGAGAGGAAAAACCTATAACGCATTTCATAGCCTGAAGGTGTATTTTAAAAAATTGGGGGAAGTGATTTGCTGAAGATAAAGCCCCAGATTTTATTGGTGCCATTCATTTCAGAAGTTATCTAAAAAGCGCAGTTCTAGTGCATCTCACAGCAGAAGTGAAGATGGATCAGGACCGAAAGATACCACTGAGATTTCCAGGACATACTGGGAACTTCTGAAAACAGAACTTCTGTGGTGACCCACAAATACCTGTAATGTGTGAGTCAATCAGAAGTCATATCGATCCAAAAACTGCTACATAATAAACTTGACTCCTTTTTCCCTGCTGTAATCCATTAAGATTGTAGCATGTTTATTTTTCAGTAGGGATGTGCAGACAATAGCATCTTCCCACTGTGCCTTGGCAGTATACTAATGGCTATTGCAAAACACTTACTGTAAGCGTTCAGCCAGGATTCTGCCCACAGCAGAAAGAAATGAATAAATAAGCTTTCATCCAGTTGTGCTCCAATGTTAACACATTGTTTTGTAACCTCAGTACAAAGTAGAGAAAAAAAATCATTTCAGGTTTATGCGTTTTGTGGTACTTTGAAGAAGAAATCTTAAATAGAAGGTTTTAAGCCTTTAGAGAAGTGTATCTTTGTACTACTCCAAGTGCTTGTCTTCTGCGTCCAGTGCTAGAAAAACAGCACTTTCTGCAGGTCTGTCTTTCTAAATGTGTATATATATATATAAATATATGCTGATAATGAAGAACTGATCCTGAGGCTTTATTCAGGTTATATTCGCAGTGACCTAATGGGACAGATTTTGCCGAGGGGGCATTTCTGTTAACAGGCCTTAAGGATTAATCTTGCATTTAATTTCTAAGGCAGGAACTCTTTTTGACAAGACACTTCTATTTCTATTGGTGGCATAAAGTTTTTGCAAAGAAAAGGCATGATATAACGTGTGTATTTCCTTCACATGCTGTTTCTTGGAGAGATAATGCAAGTCAGGCATCCAAAAATCAGGAAGTTGAAAAACAACATTAATATATATATATATACATATATATATATATATTTTTTTTTTTCACCAAAAATATCAAATGATCTGAAATACAAGCTTTTATTCATAGAAAGAATAATCGCATACAACAAGAGTGGTGCCTCTTAGGAAGTGTGAATGAATACAGTGATATGTTGCCCAGTTACTGCTGGGAGAGGTCTGGTCCAAGCTGTCAAAAGCCAGAACAATTCTTTGTTCTTAGTTGAAGAACTGTGAATCACATCCTAAATTTATAACAACTGCATTAGAATTACTGTAAGAACAAAATATTTATTTTCCTGTATGTATGTTTTTATGTAAATACTGTGAGATTTAAAATGTACCGTGTGAGATCACACACACACGCAAGTGCTGTTAATTGCAGTGATTTTAATATGCTTTTTTTTTTCTATTTTAGGCAAAACTCAAAATCCAGAGGAAGAGGTTGCAATCTGCAAGAAGCTGGTAGGTCAGATTTTAAAATTATATAAACTGTAGTATAATTAGTTTTACAAAAAAGGTATAAGTGGTAAGGTAATGAAACTTGCATTCACTGGATATTCAGAGAATATGCAAAATCATTTTAATTTACATACTGAGGGGAAGAAAATGTGGTTTAGCAGAGGCAATTAACATGAGAAAGTAAGACAGATGCTGTGCAAATAATTCATAATGAATAATTTCTTTGCTCCATTTTGTGTTTGCAAGTTTTCCAAACAAACTAGTTTTTCTGATGTATATGTTCAGACTGTTTGCTGAATAATATCTGTGCATAATTTTTTGTCTGTAATTCATTCATAAGCAGAGCTTTTTGAATATTCAAGCTTTTTGAATGGGTCCATAGGTTGTACAGCACGTTTCTCTTTTCCAGTTGGGGAAACATAAATTTGTAGGTTCTGCTATGAATAATCACAATATTTAACAGTATTTGTTTTATTATTTTACCAAACATTCCCTATTTGTTAAAGCCATAATGGAAAAGGAGAGGCAAGCAAAGGCAAACAAATCAGTCTCGCTTCCCCTCTTTTGTTTCTCATTTGGAAAAAAAATCATTTGTGGTGTCCATGATTCTGTTTGTCTTCAATTAAAATGTGAGGAATCTGAAAACACAAAATCAGAGTCTTGAAGGCACTCAGTTTTAATATGGCTGTAGTGTCGTACCCATACACAGATCTCCTTGCTGCAACATGTGGGCTCTAATTTTCTTCCCTCGTTCTTGCTGCCTGTTATGCAGATCCACTACCTGACAAAACAGTGTTTCCAAACGACAGTCTGCTCTTTCTAATTTATGTGATATTGGAGTTGTTTCTCCATTTGTTGTGGCTGAATTTTTCCCCGTTCCATGGGAAAATATGATAACGGCCTTTTCTGTATAGCACAAATGGAAAACTGCGTGTGGGAACATAATGAAGATAAATATACTTTTGTTGGCACTCAAGGTGATTAATTGCAAGAGGTGAGCTTAATTATGCCAGTAGTAATAATTGGTGTCATGGGCAGGGAGTACATATTTATGGCCCGTTGTTAGGAATGCGCTGAAATTTGAATATGGACATGTTAATGAATTAGTACGAATAGTAACTTTTTACATTACAGGCACATTCTTAATTATATGTAAGTCATATTCACAACGAAAACTAGTCAGTTTTCAGCCCTTCTATAAGGAAAGCATCTGAGAGATCACTGTGTTCTTTGGATAAATTGTGTGTGGTGAAGTCAATTATGAGTGAATTTCATTTGCAGAATCCTATTAGCAATGTAAAAACAAACCAAAACACAAACAAACACACGTTTCATATTTAATGCACTACATTTCAGAATTTCTATTTAACTTTACCTTTTTAATAGTACTATTACATAAAAAAAAAAAAAACACAAAACAACAACAAACGTTATTATTAAGCTAAGTTTCACATTTCTAAGGAAAGTGGGAGAATTTTAAGTTCTCCTTTTCAGATCGCCTCGTATCCCACTTACACACTCGCACCAAGGATCTGACTGTCTCAGCTTGCACATTTCTCTTGGTTGGGAATCAGCCTGGGAATTTCCTATGACGTGAGAGGCGCAAAAGGTGCACTGAATCATTCTAACACTGATAGGACAGGGGAATGCAGAGAGCGCGGAAGGACAGATTCAGAAATGTCAGTTCCACAAACATGTGTCACTGTTTAAGTTCTGCTCTTCTTGTATTTCACGCTGAATAATGTGAGAACACTGAAACAACCATTTTAATAACTGAAGTGCATGTATTTGTCTTTGGAAGAGAATAGTATTAAGATACTAACTTACTTAGTATGTCCCATGTTAGTAGATTGTTAACTGGTCATTACAAGTTCCCTTGGATAGAAAGAAACGATGTGGCAAACTAAACAATTGTTTGAAAATAGTTTCACTGTCAATCCATTGTAATTTTTCTAAAATTGTACTTCACTTGCTTGTACTTCACTCTCTCACCAGAAAGCAGGTTCATTTTTGTAAATGAGATATACAAAATAAGCAATGAAAACAACAGAGAATACAACATCCTCTAAATTAACCTAGTTCAATATACGTTCTCACTGCGTGCTCTCTCTTCCTCTTACCTTTTTCATCCATTTTATATTCAACTTTATACAGCATCTAGACGCAGTAAATCCTACAGCGATTATGTTTTGTTTTCATTTCTACTTATGTACAGTTTAAAAGAACATTTTGGAATCTGATTGCTATAATAGATTCTCTTTGTAATCTTAAAGCAGACCTTCTAGACTACAGATCCTCACAAGCTTAATTCCTGCTCTAGCTTTCCCTTCTTCTAAGGCTGCCTTCATTTTTTCTGTACTGCATTGAGTTCTTACTGGTAGAAGTGAGAGAAAAACCTTGCTTTGCATTACATACAGTGCAATGTATTACTGTATTTACAAAAATAAATTGTATACCACATCACTTTATAAACGATTGCAGAGTGCAGTTATAATCAATTGATTAAACATCAGGCTTCTCATGGACTGCTTGCTGCAATTTAGTACAGCAGATACTGAAGGGAGATCAGGCATGAAACTTCCTCTTTATCTTGCACCTTTCGTCACACCAAGTAACTGAAAACAGCTAAGTTCATCATCCTTCTTTAAGACAGTGTTCAGAAAATCAGACACTTAAACCATGACCTTTTCAGAGAAGGGGCTGTGTCTTGTTTATTGCAGTAGCAAAAATTGGGCCCTGGTCTTGCATGGAGGCATTGGATTTTATCAGAAGATACATGAAGCAAGTGAATACTTGAGAGTGTGCTCTTATGGAACATCTTTGCATGGAAAATACATTATAAGAGAAGAAGGTAGACAGCAGCACAAAGGTTTAAAAGTACTTGTTAGATTGAGGTTAAGAAAATCAGAAATAAAATTATTTATCTGAGAGCTAATTTAAAATAAACATCAACTACAATGTCTCTTTTTTATTTAATTATGTTATTAAAATGCCATGAAAAAACACAGAACTTATGTTATCTTTTGGAAAAAGCTATTCCAATGCTGAGAATTGGATGTTGGTTTTATTATTATTTAATCTTTCTCATTATCTTGGTAATTCTTGCATAGTAAGAAAGTGGAAAAAAAAAATCTATTATATTTTCTAATACCAGCTGAGCCTATGAACGTCAAGAAGTTCGCAAATGTATCATGGTATTTTTATGTAACATTCTAGCTTTCTTCCCCCTGCATTTTAATCTGTCTCCACCTTTAGAGTGTGTTTATTTAAAAGGTAAAATGCTGCTAGTGAGGTATGCAATGACATTTTACACAGGGATGGAAATGTATTGCGTGCCCCACTTCATATCTTGAACACTTCAACCTTTTTAAATCACTTTTTTTCCCAGTTGTTCTTTGCATTTTACACAAACTTTCCGGTAGATGATTTGTCTGCACCTTTTTACACGCTTACTGGGAAGGCAAAGCACTAACTTAATACTGATTTTGAGTCAGACTTGAAATCTTGTGCTGATCGATGTAGTTTCAATATTATGCAGAATAACTACTTTATCCTTTACACGTCACTTTTTCTTTTCCTGGAACCGTGTGTTGCCTTTCTCCTTAGCTGATACATGCACTTACTGATTCGTTTACTCTCATACAGAATACCTGTCTGCAGTGTAGCTCTTCCACACCAGTATTACTTAAGTATTTTTCCTAACTTCACTTTCTGATATGAGGAAAAAAAGGCTTATTTCATCCTCAGTTCACCTTGAAAGCCCGTTGTTATTAACCAGAAGTCTCCGTGACTCCCATGGTTTTTCACCTCGAAGGCATTTCCTCTAAGGCCAGAAAGGCAAAGGCATTTCTATGTGAAGATAACTACAGAAAAAATATACTTCAGTGTATGGTGACAACATCTCAGTAATTAATGCTGGAAGACAAATGAAGCTTTTCGTCTTGGTGTTAGAGCCATTAATATGGCTGAGAGAATTACCATTGTGATGGCTTGCAGTTTCACTCAGTAGCTACTAGCCATGTGTCTAAAATTTGTACTATAAACCAGTATGACTCCAGTAACTGAACCGGCTGGAAGAGTGTAAGAGACCTGAGTTATGACGAGAATTACTTGGAGATTCATGTATTTAGTTTGATTTGTATAGCTTTTAACATGTTACGACAATTACTCTTAGTGGAGTATCTACAGTGGAAGCAGTGCATCCCATCCTCTCTCCAATGGTAATACTTAATTTCAGTACCCACTAGGTGTTGTCTCCTGAGAACTAGACAATTTGAACACATAATTCTTGCCCAAGCCTGGTGAACTCTCCTCTTGATTTGCCAGATGACTGACGGCTCATAATTTATATAGAGATGGCAGTAATCCACTCTAACATTAACTTGGCCGCCAGATTCTTCCGAATTTCTTTGAAATATTGGTGGTCAGCAAAACTGCTATAGGAGAAAACAGGGTTAGACATGGAGGGCACGGGTTTTGTGTACATAGAGCACACTATGGATTCTTTTTCTATCCTTCAGTACCCTTAAGCACAGCAGTGTTCTGTGCCTATGAAAGGTCTGCACATTTCCTTTACTTTCCACCAAACAGGTATTGCCTACAAAGACTTTCCATCTTTTTTTTTATTTTTATTTTATTTTATTTTATTTTATTTTATTTTATTTTATTTTATTTTATTTT